GTGGGAGAACTTGCACAATTGGTGGCTGACTAAATACTTTTTTGCCCCACTGTACATTGGGTGGATGGATGAACGGACGGACAGACAGACAGATCATCAACATCTCAATACTGGGATGCCTGCCTAAACAACCAAGTTTTCAACAACTTCCTAAATATTAATAACAAGATTGCTGATCTTATTTCTGGGGCAGTTGATTTCATGGGAGGGAAGCTCCAGCAGAATATGCTTGCTTCTGAGTTCCTCATGCTGTACACTCCCCTTTGAATCCACTTCAGTAGTTTCTAAATTAGAATGCAAGAAACTATTTCATCATAGTGTTAATCAAAGACAAAGTTTCTTGGTATATACATTTAAAGTGCCATTTTTTACATGCATTTGGTCATTAAAGTACATATGAGAGAACAGGTTCTATTTTATTTATCACAGGTTAGTTTCATTACATATGAACTGTTTGTCATCTGTTCCTGTTCTGAAAAACATCATGAAAGGACTATTTGAATCTTCTCTAAAAAGCAGAGAAATATAAAGTTTATTCAGAAAATTTTGTGCAAGTAATCAGAGTGATTATACTTGAATTTGTATTCAAAGTGAATTATCCAGTCATCTGATTGCTTAAATACAAATATAAATAATGTATTTGCATTATTTATGCATCCATTTAATAAAGGAAATTGGTTTAGGATTTTTACTATAATAGCTAACAAGATTTAATATCTGGAATGTATTGTTGGTTATATTAATTTCAACTGGCAAATTATATGAAGGACATGTATTTTTGTATTTAGCATTTCTGAAGCCTAATATTGTATATATCAATTTTAAAACAATCCATTAATGTGTCTGATATTAAGGGGAATGAAGATAAAAAGCTTAATATTAATGTAGCACACCAACAATAACAGATGTATACTGACCACATGCTTAAGACAAAATTTTAGAAATACAGTAAAATACTGTACTTTACTGCCAATATGAACTGTTCAGGTTCAGAATAAAGTTTATATGGAGGAAAGTTTCAGTATGTTGGCCCTTTCCCAAGCTTCCAATAATAACTTAATTATATAAATTTATAAAAAAAAAATTAATAAAAGAAGAAATGCTTCATATGGCATAGGTAAAGCCTCTAGACTATATTCAATACTATGTTTATGAGTTTCCACATATGTTTGTATTTTCCTTTTGCTTTCTCTCTCCTCCATTCCTTCATATTTGCCTCTTTTATTTTTATCACAAAAATGCCAAATCTTACAAAATGTTAGTAGTTTTCCTCAAAATCTTGTAAAATTTTGCAATAGACACTAAAAGGTATTAGCATGGGACTGTGAATAAATAAAATTTGGTAATTTCATGAAATTTTGGCCAGTTTAATTTTTTAACTCAAAAAACTGTTATTTGGTTATATGACATTTAAAGAAAGAGACATGTGCCATATTGCTGAACCTTCATTTATACTTAACTGCATAAAGAAAAAAGTTGGGAACTTCTACTCTAAAAAGTATTTTTTGCAGAAGATGGAAGTATAGTAGAGAGGGGAGGTAAGAAGAGGAATCAGTTCTGATGGCAGTTGCAATGTTGTTAGTGAAATGTTAGCTTGGTTACAATCCATTGCCTTAACAATAATTCATAAGTACAGATATTATGATTTTCTTTCAATGCCTTCAATTGATTAACCCTCATAAATTTAGAGAAACTTCAGTAGATGCACATTTTAAGGAAAAGCTATTGCTCCTAGTAGAAGCAGTCAAAGATATTTTTTTTTTCAGCCAAAGGTTTGATCTCAGTTTGTATATCTGCCCAGTAGTCTACCCACTAGTATCTCTTATAGGAATGCTTGCCACTTCCTAATTTTACCATTCCTAATGGTGATTACTTCCAGTGATATAAATTAAGCAAAACTTGGGAGCAGTGAACAAATAAACTTTATTCTGGTTTCTTTTAGTTGGAAATGTGTTGTTTTAAAATAGAATAAGGTCAGTCTATATGTTTGTGAGAGTTAAAAAAAGGTACCAAGATTTACAATTCAACTACACCGACAGGCTGAAAGCAACTGTAGATCAATGACTAATTTCATGTATTTGATTATATATTTTTTCCCTTAGCAATATTGTCTTCGTAAATTTACATATCTACATGGAGAGAAGAAGATCCTTGTATCAGGAGTTTCAGGGAGAAAATCAGCTAAAAATTGCATTTTCCTTTCATCAAATTTCCTTTCATGTCAAGTCATATAAAATTTATCTCTCTTATAGCAGATGGAAATGAAAAGGTACAAGTTTCCTCCAAAAAGGAAATATATAGGATGTCTTGTACTAGAAAAGCATAGCTAGATAAAATTATTGGAATCCACAATAAGATTTATAGATTCATCAAATTTAGTAAATAGCTGCTGTCTGAGGATAGGAGGGACCACTATGTCATGGTGGAGGAGGGGGTGACCTGTTCTAGTATTATTTTCCCAATGAATCTTCCCAAAGCGATTTTCTCTATTAGAAAAATGTGGAAGTATATAGGCTGCATGTACCAGTGATAAAAGGCTGTTCGGTACTGGTTGCTGGAGAATACATTTGAAAGAGTGCCTGTGCATACTTGACCTGATAGTTGGGTTCTCAGTTTCTCATAAACATCTGTCTTCTACTGGAGAAAGATCAGATACTATCCTTCATTGTCATGGTCCTAAATTTTCTCCCTAGCAGCTATTTGAGGCAAGCGATAAAATCACGGAAATCCACTTTGTCTTGTGGGACTCCAACATATATACACTTAAAAATAAAGATTTACAAGATTTACAGATTTTAGTTTTGCTATTTTGTATTTTCAGGGGGGAGCATATGTAGAGCAGATGAATTCCTTTGCAACAATTCACTCTGTAAACTCTATTTTTGGGTTTGTGATGGAGAAGATGATTGTGGAGATAACTCAGATGAATTCCCTGAAATATGTGGTAAGCTTGTAGCCTACAACCCACAAAGCATATGCAATGATACATTTAATTCATCACAAATTCTCTGTTATTGTTGTTGTTTTCTTTTCCTTCAATACTGCTCTTGTTTTCCTTTGTCTTTAATTTGTATGAGAAGAATATTTATGTTTTGAGACTACAGATTGCATACATTACCTTTGAAGCAGGCAAAATTTTGTTAAGACCCTCAATATGTTCAAAGAGAGTTTCTCTTTATGACTCATGTGGAACATAATTGAAAGTGTTTTCCAGCATATTTTCTCTCATCTAGTAGCGCTTATGTACATTCAATTAAAAGTGATATAAAAGAGAAAGTACATCTAACAATTTAATTACTTTTTCCCTCTTTGATGACAGCAAATAAGTAAAAGACATATTCTCTACAGAACTAATAATACAGCATTTGTTTTTGTTTTGTTTTCACAGTAAACTTTCCATGCCCTCCAACCAGGCCATACCGATGCAGAAATAATCATGTTTGTTTGAGACATGAGCAGATTTGTAATGGAATTGATGACTGTGGTGACGATTCAGATGAAGATCACTGTGGTAAATAATCTTAGTTTTACAAACAAGAAAGAAACAGTCTTTTTTTCCGGGGGGGAGGGTCCTTGCTTGGCTTAATGGCTGAATCTTTATCTCACAGAATTCCAAAGATGACAGGAGGGGCACAATTTAGTCCAGCCTAGTAGTGGTACAATAAGAGGAATAAATGCTTCTTTGCTAGCTCCCACATAGGTGCAGTGTAATAGTGCTCATTTGTTTTTGTGGAATAGGAATTTGGTAATGTCAACAGTAAGTGGAATCCATATGGCTATTCAGAAACCTAGCTGTAAGTTCAACGTTGTGCTCCTGATTTTGCTTAATTTTGTTGCAGGTTGTTTTTTTTTTTTTAATGACTAGCATTAATGTTAATGTTGGACTGAAAGCTTTTACTCAATGGGGTGAACTCTTAACTATTCATTTAGCAGTTACAGAACTATAGTTCATGCCGAGCCCAGTATGGTCAGCAAATCATAATGACTTCAAAATGACTAAACAGACATGATGATGTCATCAAGGAAATGCTGCCATTACGTAATTACATTCTGATATCAGCAGCAAGTATGAAAATTATGGCATTTGCCTGATGATGTCAGCATGCACATTTCCTGATTTGTCCCCTGTGGACACCCATGAGTCTAGTCATCCCAAACCTTTCAAGCCCAGTCTTTTTCTCCAAGTCAAGAGATTAGGAAATACGCACCTAGGAATAGACTGGGAAAGAACGATTGATTGATTATGTGCCAGCAGGTTTTTTTTCACTCCTAG